AATCTAAAATTTTGAAAATTGAAAACTTAAAATAACAAAATTCAAAAATCAATAAATTAAAACATCAAAAAACCGAAAAGGAAAAAATCGAAAAATCGAAAAATTGAGGAACCCCAAAAGTGAAAAATGGAGAAATTGAAAAATTCCAAAACTCAAATAACGAAAAATTGAAAAATCGAGAAATCGAAAAATTGAAACGTCAAAAAAAATTGAAATTGAAAAATGTAAAATTTAAAAATCGAAACATTGAAAAACTAGAATATCGAGAAAAAAATAAGAACTCCAGAAGTCGAAAAATCGAAAAATTCCAAAACGAATTAGTCCACAAAATCGAAAAGTTAAACACTGAAAAATTGGAAGATTTAAAATAAAAAATCGAGAAACTGAACCATCGAAACATCGACATCTCGATAAAGGCTAGATTGAAAAGTTAAAAAATTGAGGACCGAATTAATAAAAAATCCCGAAACTTTTAATTTTGAAAAATTGAAATATCGACGAAAAAGTGAAGAATTGAAAAATATCAAAACTGAAAAATGAAAAAATGAAAACCGAGAAATCGAAGTAGAAAATTCGAAAATTTAAAAATAGAAAAATCCAAGAAACTTGAAAAATCGAAACATTGAATAAACAAAAAATCGATTAGTAGAGAAATTGAGAAATTGAAAAATTGAAAAACCGAAAAAACGAGAAAACTAAAAACTGATGAATTTAAAACCGAAAAGTCAAAAAATCCAAAGATCGAGAAATCGAAACATCAAAAAACTGAAAAATCTAAAACTTAAAAATTCAAAAAATTGGGAAATCGAAATATCGAAGAACTGAAAAATCGAGATATCGTAAAATCTAAAATTTTGAAAATTGGAAAATTAAAATACCAAAAAATTGAAAAATTAAAATATCAAAAAATCTAAAAATTGAAAAGTTGAAAAATCGAAGTCAGAAATCAAAAATTTTAAAAATCGAAAAATTGAAACATCAAAAAATCGAAGAATTAAATAATCTAAAACTTAAAAATCGAAACATTGAAAATCCGGACATCGAGAAAAAAAATGAAAATTGGAGATTTTGAAAAATTTCAATTTGAAATAGTCCAAAATCAAGAAAAATTAAAAAATTTAAAATCGAAAAAATCGATCAACCGGAAAATCGACATCTTGATAAACGAGAAATCAAGAAATATAACAAAAAATTGGTAAATTTGAAAAGTCGAAAATTGAAGAATTGAAAAATGTCAAAATTGAAACATGAAAAAATTGAAAAAATGAGAAATCGAAAAACTAAAAAAACGAAAAACCCAGAAGTCGAAAAATCTAAAGACCGAGAAATCGAAACATCAAAAAACTGAAAAATCAAAAATTCAAAAATTCGAAAAATTGACAAAATATCGAACAACTGAAAAATCGAGAAATTGTAAAATCTAAAATTTTGAAAATTGAAAACTTAAAATACCAAAATTGAAAAATCAATAAATTAAAACATCAAAAAACCGAAAGGGAAAAAATCGAAAAATCGAAAAATTGAGGAACCGCAAAAGTGAAAAATCGAGAAATTGAAAAATTCCAAAACTCAAATGACGAAAAATTGAAAAATCCAGAAATCAAAAAATTAAAACGTCAAGAAAAATTCAAAAATGTAAAATTTAAAAATCGAAACATTAAAAAACTAGAATATCGAGAAAAAAATTAAAACTCGAGAAGTCAAAAAATCTAAAAATTCCAAAACGAATTGATCAACAAAATCGAGACACTGAACCATCGAAACATCGACATCTCAATAAAGGGGAGATCAAAAAGTTGAAAAATTGAAAAATCAAAAATTTACAAATCGGGAAATCGAAAAGTCGAAAACTCAAAAAATTGAAGGACCGAATTAATCAAAAATACCGAATCTTCTAATTTTGAAAAATTGAAATAACGACGAAAAAGTGAAGAATTGAAAAATATCAAAACTGAAAAATGAAAAAATTGAAAACCGAGAAATCGAAGTAGAAAATTCGAAAATTTAAAAATCGAAAAATTCAAATAAGAAACTTGAAAAATCGAAAAACTGAAAAAACAAGAAAATTAAAAACTGATGAATTTAAAACCGACAAGTCAAAAAGTAAAAAAATCCAAAGATCGAGAAATCGAAACATCAAAAAACTGAAAAATCTAAAACTTAAAAATTCAAAATATTGGGAAATCGAAATGTCGAAAAACTGAAAAATCGGGATATCGTAATATCCAAAATTTTGAAAATTGAAAAATTCCAAAACTGAACCATCGAAAAATTGAGAAATCAAAAGATCGAAGAACTGAAAAAGCGGGATATCGTAAATTCTAAAATATTGAAAATAGAAAAATTAAAATACCAAAAAATTGAAAAATAAACATCAAAAAATCTAAAAGAAAAAAAATGCTGAAAAATCCCAAAACTGAAACATCAAAAAATTGAAAATCGAAAAATCAAAAAATTGAAGAATCGAAATGTTGAAAAATCCCAAAACTGAAATATCGAAAAATTCAAATCAAGAAATTGAAAAATCTGAAAATTGAAGAGTTGAAAAATGGAAGTCAGAAATCGAAAATCAAAAAAATGGAAAAATTTAAAAAATTGTGGACCCGAAAAATCAAGAAATTGAAAAATCGGAAAATTGAAGAATCCTAAAAGGAAAAATCGAGAAATTGAAGAATTCCAAAACTGAAATAACGAAAAATAAAATCAAAAAATAGGAAAATTGAAAAATCTTCAAAAAATTATAAATCGAAAAACTGGAATATCGAAAAAAAAATGAAAATTCGAGAAGTCGAAAAATCGAAAAATTCCAAAACGAAATAGTCAACAAAATCGAAATTTAAACACTGAAAAATTGGAAAATTTAAAATAAAAAATCGGGCATTTGAAAAATCAAGAAACTGAACAATCGGCACAACGACAAAAATTCGAAAAATTGAAAAAGCTATAATTTAAAAACCGAAAAAGCGAAAATTGGAAGAAAAATTGGAGAATTGACAAATATCAAAGCTGAAAAATCAAAAAATTTAACAACCGAGATATCAAAACGTAGAAAATAAAAAAATTCAAGTAAGAAACTTGAAAAATCGAAAAATTGAGAAATCGCGAAATTGTATACATCGAAAAATGGAAATATCGAATAAATGAAAAATCGGGAAATCTTAAATCTAAAATTATGAAAAATGAAAAATTAAAATATCAAAAAATTGAAAAAAAAATTGGGGACCCGAGAAATCGAAAAATTGATCAAAACTGAAATGACGAAAAATCGCAACATCGAAAAGTTGGAAAATCGAAAAGCTGAAAAGACGAAATATCGAGAAATCGAAAAATTGAAAAGCTGAAACATAGAGAAACAGAACATCAAATGATCGAGAAATCAAAAAGTCCAAAAGTCGAAAAATCGAAAAATTGAAAAAACAAAAAAATGAGAAATTGAAATCTAAAAATTAATTAAAAAAAAAAAAACGAAAAATTGAAACAGAAATATCGAAGAACTGAAAAATCTAAAATTTAAAAATCGAAAAACTGAAAAATCGAAAAAGTAGAACATCGAAGAATTGAACAAAATTCGAGAAATTGAAACATCAAAAAAAATTGGAAAACTTGAAAAATCTAAAACTGAAAAGTCGAAAAATTGAAAAGTCGAAAAATTGCAAAATCTCAAAACTAAAATATTGAAAAGTCGAAGAAAAACTGAAGAATCGAAAAATTTAAAAGTCGAAAAAAGTAGATTTTTAAAATTGTATAATTAAAACTTGAAAAATAGGAAAACTCCACCATTGAAAGACTGAAAAATCGAGAAATTGGGAAATTGAAAATTCAGAAAAGTTATAAATTGAAAAGAACCGAAAAATTCAAGAATCGAGAAATGAAAAAATCGAGAAATCAAAAATTTGAAGATTCGAGAAACTGAAGTATAAAAAAAAATGTTGACTTTTTTCCAAAAATCTTGATGTCTAGAAAAAAAATTCAACGCGGATTCATAAACCACTACTACAATGGGACCATGTTACTTTTTAAAATTTAAATAACATTTATGCGATAAAATCATACAATTTTGTAAAATCGAAGTTAAAAAATGAAAATTAAAAAAAAAATCGAAAAAGGGAAAAACTATAGAAGTCACATATTGCAAAATCCCACAATTGAAATATCGAAAAATTGAAAAATCCAAGAAAAACTAGGGCATAGAAACATTGAAAAAAAATTCAAAGCGGATTCATAAACCACTAATACAATAGTATGTTACTTTTTAACATTTAAATAACATTTATTCGCCAAAATTGTACGACGTCATCATCAATTCCTGGAGAGGGTGGCACGAACGCATAAATTTTGATTAACGATTCACCACGCTTCCGACAACCTTACTTAAAACAACAAACAAAACAACTTAAAACTCGACACGGCTTCATAAACCACAAATCGACGAGTACGCACACAAGTCCCTGATTTCATTAGTCGGAACTTGTCGCCCTGAGATACGTCGACGTGTTATGGCATCCGCCTCCGCACCGCCGACAGCCACCCCCTCGTGTCAATCCGCGGCGCAGTCAAGCGCAAACCAAACACAAAACCAATCGCCGGGTCGTCGAACTAGGATATTGCCACAACGTGTGATAATGCGATCGGTGTTCTCAAATTCCCCCAGAGCCCAGAGCAAACAAGAAAAATTTCATCCTTTAAACTAGTCCTCGTTCTCGATTTTTTATCGCGTTAAATTTTTACAGAGGGTAGCGACCACACGTTGAGAGCCGCTGCCCCACCTCGAACAAAAAAACTCAATCCCTCTCGCCCCCCTCGCCCGGCTAATAGCGCACGCTAAAATAACCACTTCCGTCGGCGATGGGAAGTGGGCTAATTTTACATTTCGCGATATACTCGCAAACATCTCAAGGTCGTGAAACAAACGAATCTCAATCGCGTCAATTTTTCATCGTCCATGTGGCGCGTTTCGGTAGCACTTGTGGATACGAAAAAAGAAAAAAACGCAAACAAACCTCTTGAAGCGAATTCGGTTTTTTCGTGGTGAGATTTAAATATCTCTCTTGGCACTGACAGAACTTGGCCGTCTGCTTTTCGAATTTCTTCTTCTCGTTTTTCACGCCTCCGATGTGCTTCTTGCGAAAGTCCTCGAGGGGCTTCACCACGTGGGAATAGACGTTCTCCAGCTGGAAAGAAACACCACGTGAATTACAACATCACACGACGTAATAATAATACAATTTTTAATAATTTTCAAGTGCTTTCGGAGATCATGTGTCTAATGAAAATCCGGGACGGCAGACAGACGGACAGACAGACGGCAACGGGAGAGTCGAGAAAATGCAAAAGTAGAAAGTCGGCCGACGGGAAGTAAAAATACACACAATCAGCGGTAAAATTTCATGTGGGTGCGACTAAATTTTTTTCAATAGATAGCATTTTTGACCGTGACAATATTCCAATCATCCGTGACGCCCACGGCTCACGCCGCATTAATTTGCATAAATAGTGCAAGAAACGAAAGAATAAGGTTGCGGAACAGCGATTGTTTACTAGAATGGTAATATGACTAAGCAAAGCCAACTAGCGTTTTTCTCGACCTGGATTTTTACGCGCTACTTAATCGAAACGCCGCTTCTTGTCATAATTGTTATGGTAAATACGCCATGTTTGTAAACATGGCGTTTATATAATGAGCAGACTTGGATCAACAGATTTAATTAGCGCCGAATTAGTCAATCGGGCGTTCATCTCGTCGCGGGATTTTCGCGCTTTTTCATTGGAGCGCGGTAATTACGTAAGTCGTGATTGGTTGTTTTGTCAAACGGAAGTTTCGCGGAGAAGCGACAAAAACTTTCCCTGCGTTCTCAGAATTGAGTTTTGTTTGTTTTTCGGAGTTATTCAAGCGGAGTGCAGAAAATTCCGATTTTTCTTCCGTATCGATACAATAAGTTGTTGTTTCTTAATCTACGAAATTCCCAACTTTGTCTGTGTACACGTAACCGAAACCGCAGCCAATATGCCACCACAACCACAAACACAACGACGAATAATAACATTTAAATACAATAAAATGGTGACCTCTTACGCTACATTTTAACCAATTGATGATTTCATGTTTGGCTGGAATTTCGCAAGCCATAGAAAACGAAAACGCAAGTTCTCTCCCTCCCTGTCTCTCTCATTCCCTATGAAAAATTGATGACGTCACTTGAAAATATTGCTTATACACACTTATTCTCAGGATTTCGGAATTTCACGAAGTGGCTGACCTCTAGCGGTAATAATTAAAAAAACCAAAATATGTGGATTCGCGCCAAAAGTTGAGTTAGCTGACAAGTCTTGTAAAAATCCTACTTTTCGATTTCTTTGAACGTTTAAAAATGAAGACATTCACAACATATTTAAAGTCAATGATCGTTTTAAAAATCTACGTGACAAAAACTATCAAAAAAAAAAAAAATAATGAAAACATTTTCCACTCCCACTCGACAGAGGGACATAATTAGCCCCGCCCACCCACCCTGTCTCCATTTAGTGATTGATTTTATGTGTTCTTAATAAAATTAACGATCTTTTACTGAACAGAAATAAAATTAGTCGTTAAAATGAGAAGAGTGGGGGTGGGCGAGACTTGCTAAGATAAGACTGATTTTGGTAAATGGGATACCTTCCAAAAAAATAGAGGGTGGGTGGGCGGGGCTAGCACTTTATAAGATATGACTGATTTTGGCCAATGGCATAACTTCCAAAAAAATAAAGGGCGGGTGGGCGGGGCTAGTCTTGCTGAGAAAAAAACTGACTTTGGCAAATATTTAACATAAAAAAAAAGTTGGGGAGGGAGGGTTATAAAAACACGGGAAAATGGAGGTAGAAAAGAAAAAAGGCCACAAAAAATCGATAACAAAGGAGAAAAGAGACAAAAAAAGCGTCAAAAATTTCACAAAAAAAAAAAACGCAATAAAGAAAAGAAAAAAAGGAGGGGAAAAGGAGACCAACGCCACAAAAAAGCCAAAAAAGACGAAAAAAAGTCGAAAAGAGGGATAAAAAGAGACAAAAAAATCAACTAAAAAATCCAGCAAAAATAAAACTTCTAAGAAAATGCGCCATCGAAACGCGATGAAAGAAAAACGCCAAAAAAGGGGGACAGAAAGGACAATAAAGATGACCAAAAAGCCACCAAAAAAAACTAGAAAAAAGACTAATAAGGTTTTAAATAAAACCAAGCCAACTTGTGGAACAACGGAGAATATATTGATGAACGCTACATACACTCTTGCCACTTGGGCTACATGAGATCGACTGACTCGCCATTATGCAGGTGTGCATAGCGAGACGTCTGACGTCATACAAAAAACAAAAAGAATTCTCTGAATCAGTTTGATTACAACAATATTCCCCCTCAAACTGATTCATCTAACAAACCAACAAAAATATTATATTATATCTCACATATGTTTAAAGAATTTCTTAATTCTACAAATCTTACTTTTGACAAAGCTTTTGTAAACATATCCGCCAGTTGACTACTACTACAAATGTAACATACTTCAATTTTACGTTTCTTATACATGTCACGAATAAAGCGATACTTAATATCAATGTGTTTAGATCGATCATGCAATTCATTGTTCTTTATAATTTTAATGGCACTCTGATTGTCTATGAACAGTTTCAAAACACCTGTGTCGATGCCAAGATCACTCAACACTCGCGATAACCAAATACCTTCTTTTGCGGCACTCGCGGCACTCACAAATTCGGCTTCACACGTTGATAAGGCCACGCACTGTTGTTTCTTGCTTTTCCAGATGACCGGTGCTCCACCAAACCTGCAAACTATCCCCGAAGTTGATTTTCTGGTTTCCAGGTCGCCAGCATAATCGGCGTCACTAAATATTTCGAAGTTGCCGCTGCCAGTAAATAAAATACCATAATTTTGCGTACCCTGCAGATATCGGAACACCCTTTTTACTAGAGACCAATGAGCTAGCGATGGTTTGTCCAGACATCTTGACAAGACATTGATTGCAAACGCGATATCCGGCCTTGTAGCGCATTGCAAAAACATTAAATTGCCAACAGCTTCACGATATGGCACATTTTCAGCACTCTTGTTTAATTCATCGCACTTATTCCATCCGATATCAATTGGCGTTGATACTGCTTTACATTCTTGCATGTGAAAGCGTTGTAAAATTTTCTTGATGTAGGTGCTTTGAGTTAAAAGAATTGAGCCATTGTCTAGAAAAGTGAGATCAATTCCTAGAAATGATGTAACTCTGCTTTCCACCGAGACCTTGAACTCCCTTCGAAGGGCACTTAAGAAATTGTTCGCATCACTTGGTTTTGTGGCAAACACCAAGCCGTCATCGACATAAATTATTACGAATAATTTTTGTCTTTCGTTTGCTCTCACAAACAAGCATGGATCGGACTCACTTTCACATAATCCGTTCTTCACCATAAAATCGGAAAATCGTGCATTCCAACATCTCGAGGCTTGCTTAAGCCCGTATAGACTCTTCTTTAATTTACACACTTGATCAGTCCCGTTCTCATATCCCGTAGGCTGTTGCATGTAAATTTCTTCGCCATCTTCTAATGTACCGTAAAGGAACGCTGTTTTGATGTCAAATTGTCTAATACACAAACGTTCTTTCGCGGCGACGGCAAGCGCGACACGGATGGTTTCATATCTCGCGACCGGACTAAATGTCTCATTAAAGTCGATGCCAGGTTCTTGACGAAAACCTCGTATCACCAATCGCGCTTTATATTTCACTTTTCCACGGTCGGCACTATTTTTCAGTTTAAAAACCCACTTGTTATCCAATACTTTGGCATTTACCGGTCGATTTGTCAAAGTCCAAGTATCAGTCTGTTTAAGCGAGTTTAGTTCGTCATCCATCGCGTTCTTCCAATGAATTTGATCGGGACACGACACGGCTTCTTCGTAACTTGTTGGTACCACTCTGTCACCATTTGTTACTTCCATCATCGAATAAAAGCCAAAATAATCTGGTTTTCTGATTTTGGAACGATCTCTTAGAAGTTTTGCAGGTGGGTTTTCACCCTCATCTTGCGAGTCCAAAACAGAATTATCTCTCGACGATACAACATATTCAGGGTCATCAGTTGATGTTGAAGAATAACTGTTATCGCTTATCTCTTCCAGTTCTTCCGGTTCGTCGTCAGCAATTAATGGAATTTCGTTCGATTCACATTGTGTTGCATCAGCTTCTTCGATTTCGCACATATTTATGGGTTTTTGAAGCGGTTCACTTTCAAATAACACGTCGCGACTGACGACGATATCACGTTTCTCCGGCACATACACTCTGTAGCCGCCAAGACCATCGTGATATCCCACAAAATAGCCCTTGATAGCTTTCTTTTCAAGCTTTCGTCGAAGTTGTTTTGGCACGTGAACATAACATTCTGAACCAAACACACGGTACGTTTCGATTCCACTAACCTCTTTCTCGTACCATATTTCATGAGGTGACTTTCCTGGAATTTTCGTCGGACCAGTCTTGTTCAAAACAAAAACTGCAGTATTTATTGCTTCCGCCCATAAACCGATTGGAAGATCGGACCTTGAATGCAGCATCGACCTTGCAGCTTCAACACACGTGCGGTTCTCACGTTCTGACACGGCGTTATGTTGTGGTGTATATGGAGGTGTCAACGTGTGTTTAATTCCCAGACGTCCTGTTATTGTTTTCATTGCCTGGTTGTCGAATTCTCGGCCGCCGTCAGTGACCAATTCTTTTATTTGTTCGTGGAACTTGTTTTGAACTTGATTACAAAACATCTCAAATTTTTCCGAAACTTCAGATTTATTTCGCAAGAAATACACAGTTCGGAAACTACTATAATCATCTTTGAATATCAGACAATAACGTTTCTTGCCTATAGATTCCACATGCATTGGACCGCAAACATCCGCGTTTATCACTTCTCGCGGCGCTGTCGCTCTTTCTTTGCGAGTTCCAAAGGGCTGACGGTGCATCTTGCCATAAGCACACCCTTCACAAAATTCACTGGTCACTTCAACCCCAATGTCCATTCGTTTTAATACACTTTGCACATGTCTTTTGTTTTGATGTACGAGTCTCTCGTGCCAGAGCTGCAACGTATCTTCTTTCTGGGCTGCGCAGGCGATTCTTATTTCCGGCATAAT